GGCGTCAAGCGAACACCAGGACGGTTGCCAACGAGATGGTCAGACTTCTTCACGAAAGCTCTGAACGAAAGGAATGTCTTGCCCCGTGTCCCTCAAGCGAGTGCGATTCACTGGACTACTCTGGCTCGCGACAGGGACGAATGGAGACGTTACTGGCGCCCGCTCGAGGAAATCGACGATCAACGGGAGTACAGGTGATACAGGTGATAGAGGCTATAGATTACCACTGTCCCCACTGTCTCTGCAGCACTTTCTGAAATGGGAGACAGTGGTAATCTATAGCCTCTATCACCTGTATCACCTGCACTCCCAACGGGAGTACAGGTATACAGGTGATAGAGGCTATAGTTTACCACTGTCTCCCATTTCAGAAAGTGCTGCAGACTGCCAGGTGGGCTGTGGCCATGTCGGGGACGCGCCGTCAATCCTCGTTTCTGGCTCCTATTCTTGTACTTCTGTGAAACCTTGCCAGCCTTCTCCGTTCACTGCTGACGTAAGGCAAGATCGCTCTTTATGATGAGGTAGTTCCCTTCCAGTACTGATCTCATGGCATCGTCAAGACTTATGTATATGGAACTCACCGCTCAAATACTCGGATCGACCGGCTTGTAGTGGGTACAGGAATATTAATGTCTAACAGCCCCCCTTCCAAATCATTCCGCACAGCCATGCTTCGACCCTTGATCCTTTTCTCAGCGGGGATGAGAGTTTTCGGGGGACTTCCCCACTGCTCTGGCCACACCATTTCTTATTTATAATATTTATTTATTAATATTTTAATATATTTATTTTCTTTCTTATTGTCTTTTCCATTATAGTAGAGCGCCACTCTCTCTAACTTCTCTGACCTTTGCTATTTGAAAGCAAGTATTCTGAAGGCATAAGACTTTGAAGTTCTGCGTTTCTTTAGGTCAGCAACCTTCCGACACTTTCTCTGAAACGATTCCCATTCCAGAGTCTCACAATCAGTTCAAACTATCTTTGATGTGGTTCACTCCTCGTTAGCCTTCTTATACTGCAAAAACGGGCGGGGTCCTGCGCGCCATTTCCGGGTAATATCCTATATTTATGACCTTCCCTTTGACACTTTGGACATATTTGTTGTGACTGTGTTTTTGCATCAGCCGGCATGCCAACCTGGGCTTGGCGCTGGTACCCACTCCATCAAAGCTCTCATTGTTAGGAGGAGATCATTCAGCGCGTATTCGGGTGGTGAATGGGGTGGGAAATTCTCCTCCCCCACTTGAATTAGTCTTGAATCTGAACTACTGACGATGGCGTTACAATTGCTTCGTTGATAAACTTTCTCGACCTCCAGTGAAAATTTTTGGAATGGTGTTCAAGTGAGGAGGGGTTAGTGTAACTATTGGGTGTCGGATACTTCTTTCATTACTTCTCAAAGAACTATGTGTCACTAGTGGTGCTCTGCTGCTGTGAAAATCTCGGAAGTAACTGTGTAGTTTGCATGCTCATGGACACAGTTAGCAATAAAGATAATCTTGATGTTAACTGACTGAATAGTTTTGCTTTCCCTTGACAAACGACTGGTAGGGTTGTTGCGTTGGAAAGGAACGTGAATGGGTTGCTATGAACGCTGAGAACCTATTCAAAATTCGAGTGCAAATAAGAATATTGAAAAGAGCGTACCCAATAGTTTTCATGAAGCTGCACCAAGGGAGGCGAAGCTGCACCAAGGGAGGAACTGCAGATTTTACAAAAAGTGGACCAGTTACGATGAATGTGCTAATTGTAAATTGATTTTCCCGGGCGATTCTTCCAGTTTCACCGAAACCGAACTCAACTACACAAGTTACTATGCAGTTATCAAACTTGAGTTCCGTCCGAATACGCCCTTTCGTCAGTAAATAGAAATATTTTGGGACTGCTGCGGGTTTTCTCGTTTTTCCTCACTTGCGCATTATTCTGCATCGACAGTTCCGTCTTTCAACCCGAAAGCAGTACAGAAAGCTGAGCCATCGATGAATATTTGTTTCTGCATTGAACTTAATATGAAGAAACGTAATAGTGAACAATGAACTTTCAAGCAAATGTTCTTGTAATAGCTTCAAGAACTGTTAAGATATAACCTTAGTTGCTCACGTCGTTCTGATTTTTTTGCAGGTTTGATCGCTAATTACTTCTTTCTCTATAGATGTTGGTGATGGCGTCCTTGAACCGAGAATCGCTTTTCAAAAGGAACGTTTGCTCATTTGGCCCAACAACAATGCGGTCGACGATGTGCTACTGTTTAGTGGCCCTCGCTCAACCGAAACCTGGTACGGAAGTTATTATGACCGCTCACTTTACATCCCATTTACGATCAAAATATCTGAATCATACTCAATTTCTCCGCGATATGTTTGTCATTCTATGAGGAAATAAGCTAACCTAGACAGGAATTACAGATGTATAGTCTTCTGGTATTTGAGTGTTCGATCTCGTTGGTTGGAATCCCTTTGTTGAGCAAGACGTTCTTGTTCGCCTTCACTTTTTGTTATGATAGGAGAACGGAGAACAGCTTTGACTTGTTTCTAATATTGGGTATCATAGGTGACGTTGTCCTTGATCCCATGTGTGGAGGTGGTTCCATTCCACTCGAGGGTGCACTGGCATTTCCAGGATGTCTGTTCTTCGGGGCTGATCATCACTCGGAAGCGATTAGTCGATGTTCTCGAAATCTGGTGGGTCAGTTGTTTAGGCATGTTGTAGAATATGAAGAGAATTGTAGGAAAAGTCGAGGATGGAAAAAAGTAGTAATTCTGAACATCAGTAAGTACATATTATTATTATTTATTTTAGCTCCCACGCTTCAAAGTGGGCTGAGTTAGAGGCACTATGGTAAGCTAGGCCTCATGAAATACCAAAATTCTAAGACGTATCTTACAAAACCGATCAAAAACGCATGTTCGATGTCAGCGAAATCTTTGGAAATGGATTCGGTGGCCTATTCTCAAGCCTAAAAGAAGGAAATTCTTCACACATCATCAGAGAGCAGCAAAAGGGGGAGGAGGAACGAAATGTTTCAAAGTGAAAGATATTCGGTAATTCATCAAACCAGCTCGAAACCATCCTAGAGGGATAGGAAGCTTGGTTTATCTAGGCGAGTGTCGATCCGCGAACCATGCGGGTGTGATAGTGTCCCATTTGCGACTAAACCTTTTCGTCCGATTGAATAGTAGCCCTGATTGAGAAAGACACATAACAACCGCGAAATGGGACCTCTACAATGCCATCGAACAGCAATTTCAGTAGGGGTTATTTTGTGCTTCTTATACAAATCGTTCCCTTTTGGAAGTACTAATTCGATTTCTATCTCATGTTAAAGGTGTTGATCAGTTGCTTATTCGTCACCCACGTGTAATAGGGTAAAGGGTATCATCGACCGACAACTAATTAGACCCACGTTTACATCTTATTGAATAGAAATAGTTTTAGTGGGCCACTGAAAAAGACTGAATTACTGTTGGATTCTTATGAAACTGTCATCTTCCCTCGGATAGTCTCGACCATATGTTGCGCCCTATCTACCTAGACCGTTTTCGGGGGCACAACGCCGCCTATTTCCTTGTCAGAAGTCTGAGTTTCTTCCTTGCTCCCATTGTAAAGAATTTGTGGCTCTCAGACTGAATTTTATCTTCCAGCAACATTGCAGTACCGAGTTATCACAATGTGGTTCGGTGGTGGCATTCATCGCCTGTGATGCAGTCAATCTACCTTTTTCTGAAAGCTCCATTGATGCTGTAGTCACTGACCTCCCGTAAGTTTCCCTTACACATTTCACTTTGTGAGTTGATTAAATGGCAACCAACTCAGCGATGGAATCATATTATCAGTGAAGGCTTGATATTAATGCCTCTTTTTTTATCAATGTACGCTTCCATTGGCGGAAAATTCACATTTTTGATGAAAAAATATGTTCGTACAGGAGACTAGACTACTACAAGAAAAGAACACCGTTAAGTACAGGTTAATGTTGTCTTTAATTTCCATGGAATGGGATAGTAGAAGTGACGCGATTCAGTTAGAAGTAGTCGGAGTATAGTTCACTTGCTCTCACAGTGTACTGTACAAGCTTGGAGATTACCTTTTGGAACCTTTGAATCCTCATTATTTGATACTCTTCGTGAATTTTCGTCCATCTTTCCTTCGATGTTTTTTCTTCTGTAAAAGAGCTTTGTAGTGCATTGGTGATCAGGTGATTACCGCAAATCAAATCAGGCGATAGTCAGCTTCCACTGGAAAATCGCAAGAATAGTCAGGTTCCTTTGTATCCCGCTTCGAGCAAACAAACAACAAAACGAGCTCATACACTTAGGATGCGAACCCTCCTGCCAAGCCTGTGGTACCACCGCCCTATCACCTGCATCATCGCTTTATGGCATGCATAATGGCTCATTGTGCTCGGTGTTTGACTGAATACCTCTCACACAGAGGAAGCGCCCCCGTGATATTGTTCTCAGAGTCGTGTCAAATTTATGAATGTGGGTTTGGGATTCATGTTCAAAAACACGGCGGTAGACGTCTCATAGTGGATATCCGGTGCGACTTAGTTCCCGTTCCTTGCTAGTCTCATCAGGATCAGGTCATCAAAGAATTTTGAGGAACACGAACGAAAACCCCTGGGTCCTACGAATTTTGGTTTTGAGAAGGAGCTAACCTTTCGGTCAGAGAAACTTAGAAATCATTGGAGAGGAAACTGAACGAAATGGCGGTATGACGTAGCCATGGCAGTGACGTATTTCTTCTGAGCTATTGCCATCGAAATGAGCAACAGCGACGGAATTATGTCCACGGCGATGGGCAGGACAAGGCAGTAGTGGGCAACAACATCCAATGCAGCGTTGAAGGCCGGCTCCCTTAAAAATGCGCAGTTTCTCTAGGGCCTCGACGACACCATCAAGTTGTTCGCGATAGGTAATCATCTTCTATCATGGTTCATGAAAGTTGAAGGAACAAGTTGACTGCTCAACGTCTGCGATTCATAGGTTTCAGAATCACACCTTTCCCGTCAACTACGTCTATAAATGTCGGAGATAAAGAATCTGTAACAAACTAAGTAAAGAAGAAGCATGCTTCTAGATAGTGAGCTGAAGGGAATTATCGGCTAAGGATTCCAACTGTCATTGTACATAAGCATTATTCATTATAAGCGTTGACGAACGTTGAAGGTTAAAGGACAAAGTCTTGGAGCGTCAGGCAATCGTGCCTGAGGGATGCACCCACGCATTCGATTCCCCCTCGGAATCGTAGTGGCCTGTTCCATGTGCCTTCACAATGGCTTGCGGTAGCCAGCCGATCGATGTACAAGTCAATGTTTTTATTCCCACACGAGTCTGGTACCAATTAACCGATCCCGAAGTAATGGAAGGCTTGGTTAACCTAGGCGGACGTTGGTCCCGAAATCGAACTCCGACCATGAACTGTGAGATGATGCTCCACTTGCCACTACATCACCTCCTCCCTGTTGACGATCGTATTTCGAAAAAAGCTTGCTTTGTAAAATTAAGGGAACTCTTGATTTTTCGGAATATGCTCCCTCTGATCCTCGTTAGGCCAGCATGATAAGCATGACCTGTGCTGATTCTTTTTGTCAACCGCCAGTAAGTGGTTGGCAATTTGTAGATGATAAAGCCTCAAAAGTTTTTCGGAGCCTAAACATTAAGTGGCAGAGTCGTAATTGTAATTTTCACATCGTCAAAGTTTTCAAAATCTTGATTGTTCTAGATAGAGTGAGGTGATTTATGCGAATTGGGGCAAATTAATGTTCACAACAATTTCTTCTCGTCTGCATTCCGGAAAAGACTTCGTGAGAATTTCACCAAAGCCTGAAAAAGAATGTTCGGTTACACGTAGGTAGTGGCCATTTACAGTAGCGCTCAAAAGTCTTCGGTGAAATGCTTTCACGCTTTTCCGTTCATAACGTTTTTCTTAGTTGATCAAATCGCGCGAAATTTGGATATGTTTAATTAGAGCATATTCTACTCCTATCATCTAGCATCCTACTAAACACTATTTGACTGTGAAGCTGCAATATCCACAGGTAGAGCAAGGTATTGTTGCGGTAGCAGATTTCGCTAGAAGTAAAGTTGTTAACGTCTGTAGTTATTCGCATCATATGTGCGTTTTTCTCATCTGCTGTGTTCGCCATTACCACTCGTACACTTTAGACTTGACAAAAAGGGCAGAGTTTCTAGGAGGACCATCACCTGCATTTTCAGTCGATTGTGGGTTCATGCTCTTAGGAATATCTGGAACATGACCAGATGGCAAGTTAATAGTGGTAAATATTCACAAACACCTACGCTCCAAATATATTTCGCATGATTAGATCCAGTAGGAAAGGAATTACGTCTGAAAAGTACGGCTGAAGAACCATTCCACCGAAGACTTTTGAGCGCTACTGTATGTATATCTTGACAAATCATCCCATGATAATAACAATTACAACGTTATAATAAACCGATGACCATGGTAAGATGTCAAAAGTAAAAGTGGCTCTGTGAATTCTAGCGTCCACGTACATATATGGTCATTACCAAAGCTCATTCCACTTCTCGCAGGGCACAAAAGTCGAAATGTGAGGTCTCGATCAGTCACGACTTCAGCCGATAGTGTTCGGAATCGCAAAGTCTAAAACCCGCTCCATCGCTGACAATCGGCTTTCACCGATTTCCGAATCGTTCGTGTTCTCAACTCATCGAACTGAATCGATTTGTTTAAAACAAGCTGAAATGAATAATGTATCCGCATATGTATTTTGTACTAGTTCAGGTATGGCAAAAAAATTGGCTCTGTTGGGGACAACCTCGTCTTATACCCTCGCCTTCTTGTGGAATGGGCGAGAGTGGTGAAGCCCAATGGTCGTCTTGTAATAATGACTCATGACAAAAGGAGTTACGGTGAGACCACTGTTTGAGATTTTATACCTCAAACGTTAGGGTTTAATTCAACGTGCTTCCTCGTTCCAAGGGGCCAGTTTCGGACAGCCAATAAAATAGTTATATGCCTTGCAATTATTTCATGTACTCTTGACATTCACATAGGCAGGTGTAGGAAGTGTAGGCAGGCGAAACGATTAATTGGTGATATGGATAGGATGGACTGTCTGGCTTACGCTCAATTCCCTTCATTTTTGTTACAAAGTTGGAGTGCTCAGCTGCCATCAGCTTTCCTATCTCAATCATACTTGATTTAACATCGGGAGACTTTTTGTAGCTTGGGCCATGTTGTGAATTACATTTTCAGTGTCCGCTATGTACGTAGGCTTGTATGTCGGCTCGCGTTCACAGCTGCTACCCTAAGTCGCTGGCAGTACCCTAACCAATGAGTGCTTGGGTTAGTAGACTCAAGTTAGCATTCGAGACCTCTCAAATGCTACTAGCCAATGCTCTCTACGATGATAACTTGTTGTTGCCAATGTTCAAGAAATCGTTCAAATTCAGTGTCCTTGGGGTCATTTGGAGAGGCTGAGCAAAATGGTGTTTGAGAAAGTTCTTCTCTTCTGATTAGGCTATTCAGTGGAAAATTCCATTTATTCTTTCCAAAGCTGGCGGAATCCCACTTTTTTGCAAATGCTGCCTCTAACTCCCATTTCACTGCAGCATTTTTCTAAGAATTAGCGACCCATCGAGACAACTTTCGTCAGGCTGCCTCCAGCCCTGGACTCTTTTTCGAAAAGCGAGAAGTTGATCATTGACTTGTCGAGTCTTTGAGAAAATTCAGAAAATCAGAGGGTGGAAAATTTGACTTTGATCTAGACGATGTTTTAGAACGCGCTCTGGCGTTGCATGGCTGCAGCTGGCGAGTAGCTTCTCATCACTTCGTCAACGTAGGCGGATTGAACACTCTATGTCATTGCCTCATCAACATGAAATCTTAAAGAAGTACTGAACATGACGAAAAGAGGGAAAAGTGCTGAAAATCGAATGTTTGGAAACACAAAAGGTTGTGAAAACGTTTTGCCTTGTGTAATATTGCGTCAAAACGTTGTAATAAACATTTTTATTGAAAAAGGCACACAGGTTTGCATTGAAATGAAACAAGTAGCAAGACAACAAGTGGATTGATAAAGTGAAATGAAGCAAGTGACATTCGAACGAGGCGTAAACACCTGCCTTTCTTAAAAGAAAGCGGAATTCCCTATGGAGATGGCTCTGTTTGCACTTTGTTCATGAGTATTCTCGGCAGTCAGAATGTAAAGGAGTTTGCTAGTACCCGTAAAATCCTTGCTAATAATGGCTAGTTCAAGAAAGCCAAAGTATTTTTTGTCGCCTCATGAGAAACTTCAGCGAGAACGGACTCGGTCTCATCAGAGGAATTCATGGGGTGTTCACTCGAGCGAATTCTCTGGGCAAGATCCTATCGGATACGCAGAGCCTCAGACGCTCCGAGCCCAAAGTTTAGACAGATGGAACTTCCCTCAGACCACTAGGAGATCATAAGGTTTCAGCTCTTCTTCACGAGCTTCTCGACGAGTGCTGCAACTTCAACCACCCATAGAACTCAAACGATATGTTCAATTTCACTGTCTGAGAGACCGTCTATGGAGATCTTTCTGCTGTCGGCGCTCAAGTTTGCGAAGTGGAAGATCACCTGAAACTGTCGAGGTTTTAGAAGAGTGATTCCAAGATTGGTAATGAGTGTATCATAACTGTAGGAAGTCTCAAAACCTCTCAAATAAGACGTAGGATCGTCTCAAGACTACTTGAATAGGGAGAAAAACAAAGCGCTTGTCAAAAGTTTCTCGAATTCGGTAAGTAAATCCAAACTAAGGTTCGATTTCTCCGAATGAAATTTTGAATACATTATGTTACCAATATAGAAAAATACTTATAACCATTCAGTGCCGAAAACTTAATTCAATGCAATCAACTCAAATAACTGAACAGAAAGTGAGTTATTTACCTCAGTAGCCGTTGTAGCCTTCTGTGGTGTATCAAAACGTGAGCATTTCGCTTTCCGAGTCGGTTGGAAAAACGGGGAGGACTCAGTGGGAGGCAGAACCATCGCCCGACGTATCCGATCGTTGCACTGCTAAAAACGGTTCCAGACTATTACATGTTTTTTTTTGAGAATTTCAAATTCTGTTCGATTTTTGAGAAACACGAGAGGAAAGAACATTATCATCGCAGAGCAGGAAAATTTGGGTGTAAAGCAATGATCGTCGATGTTCCTGCTCTGCGATGGTAATATTGACTGTAGTTACCATGGAGAAAAAAGACATGCAAACGATACAGGAACTGAAAATCGTGCTAATTCGGCTGGTTTATATGAAAGGATGGGTTACCTCCTGGAGACTACGACAAGGAAACCTTTTTTCCTTTGGGGGGACTATTTTGATAAATTGGGCCTATTCTAGTTAAGCCATCTCAGCAAACTATTCCTGCCTTTTTGACTTTTTTTAAGCTCGGTAAATGTAAAATGGAATAAGGCTGCAGCATCCAGATCAAGAGGCAGGGCTAAGTAAAAAGACTGCATCAAGATAGAGAAGTAGATGGAACTGGAGACGACGAGAAAAACATGAAAATAGAAAAATACTTTGACACAAATTCAAGGGGAGAAGCACGATATAGCAGAGTCAAGTAAGAGATGGCAGAGCAGAGGGTGCAGGGTTGGGGAAGGGATGGTGAACGAAAAAAAAGTGGAATAACAGTATGCAGCCATCCCTAAAAAGTCAGAGATTTCCAATTCATTCCAGATGGGGTGACCGTTATATAGGCCTAGACGGATATCAAACTATTCACTATCATAGGCCCTCAAGATTTAAAGAATCACTGAGAAGAGGAAAGCGGGAGCCGGATGTTATGCGGCTTCTGCCCAATTTCTCTAACATTCACATCGGCATTGGAGTCGCTAATTTTCTCATGCTCAACACTGGAACTAAGTTGTTTGGCAGGCCGCGGGCCAGGTTCAGAAATAGATCCCAGGGTATTCAAAAACCTGCTTCATCGAGCAATACATCAGAAAGCCACCTGGAAAACATAGAGCCCGCATTCGCAACCGCATAACCACCCGTTGAAATGCAGCTGTAGGGCGGGGGTGAAAGTGGCATTTTTTTCTGAATAAGTCATTCTCACGCTGATGAAGCAGAAAAGCTACTCCCAGCCGCAGGATTGCTCTCTAAATATAAGAATGAGGAAGCACCATAAATATCTACAGAGCAGAGTCTATACAGTGTCAGCATTTCTTCGACACGGCGATGGAAAGCTGGGCTGCACAAGAAAGTCCCGAACTCCCACGTTTCTAAGAAGTGAATCGGAAGTATAAGGATAAAAGGATGAAATCTCGGTCAGTCGAACAATCCGCTCACGCATTCGATTCCACGCAGGAGTGTATTGGAGCGTGAGTGGCGTATAATGAATGAGTTGCCGTGTCCAGCCAATGTACAAGCCAGTGCTTTTATTCTCTCAGACAAGTCTGGCACATTTAGCCGAACCCGGAAAGATGGATGCTTGGTCGGTCTAGGCAGATATCGATCCGGAGTTGGAACCCGTGACCATGCTGTGTGAAGTGCGCCACTTGCCACCAAACCACCTCCGCCCATTAAAATATAGTTTAAATCATCATGTTGAATGTTAAATGTGACGCATGAAATAGAAATAATCGATATAAAATTTCATTCACTTTCTGAAATAACCATTTCTTTCAAAGGGGGGAAATAATGGTCAGAAACATAATGATCTCCTTTTAAACAGTCTCCGATAATGAACGATGCTTGTAGATTCTGCTGAGCATCTGCGTTCGCACTAAATGGCAAGTTATCAGAGTACGAACGCAGTCAACGTTTTGTTGTTTGAGGATTTTTCTTGCTTTAGTACAGTGCTGTCAGCACAGGTACTATGGGGTTCAGAAAGATGGGCTCGTTAGCTTGTTAGCTTATCTGAGTCGTCTGCAGTCCTTCACGAGGCACTGAGAGAATGGTGGTCATCCAGTTATTGGCCGCAGAGTGGGAAAGACAATGTGCAGATGCCCAGCAAAAAGAAATATCTATCAGAATCGGATTTTGCTTAGCGATTTGAAGAATGCCGTGAACGGCCTTCTTTTTATTATGATTTTTATACCACATTGTGTAAAAAAAAACAGCGAGCGGCTGGGCAAACATTCGGGAGGAGGTAAAAATGCTAAGCTATATACATAAAGCAGTTAGAAAGTACAGACGTAGAAGGTGCCGTAATGAGAGGCGAAAGTAAGTAAGCTTTCAGATCATGATTCATTCCGGAGCCTTTGAAGTGCATAGCAGAGGACAAAAAGATTGAAGTTGGATAGTACCCAAATGAGAACTTCCGCCCTTCTAGGGAATCCATACTTCAAATAACCGTTCGGAATTGATTATGACGAGAGCAGTGCAACATTATATGGCACAGCTGCTTAGTAGCTGTCACTTTACTTCACTTCCAGTTCACTGGTGAAATCTGAGCAGAACACTGGAAGTGAACGACGGCTGGAGGATTCTCAGGACACTTTCTAAGCTGATATCAACATGGCTCACCTCATCAATGTCAGAATGATCGACCATGACCATTTTTCTTCGACGTAGAGGAGCTCCTTCAAAGATGTCATAGAATTGGTTGAGATGTGCTATCTGAATAGAAATTGACTTCAGAGATCGCAGAGTGAAAGCGGAACTTCAACAAATACAGCATGAATTGAGTTTTTGAAACAGAATTACCTGCTTCTTTTCATGCTTCCATCGTTTATACTGGCATACACCGCAAATACCCAACACTACGGCACCGATCATTATCACCGGCAGGAAAGCGATTGCCGAATAGTCTGGAAGTCGTACTTAAATCGGCAGATGGACCCGGAATCTCTTCAAAAACAGCTCTAGTTTTCTGTCAAATGAGTACTTTACACTAACCATCACCCAATAGAATGGCATCCTTCGTTTGGCCGCTTGTCAATTTCCGAACGTCGAAAAAGTCCATTTAGAGTTTATAGGCATAGCGGTCCTTCACGGGTGGCGTCTCTAGCGCACTAATATCGAAATCCAGTGCGTAATGACTAAGACAGTGGCTTCATTTGAAATGAAGGCAAAGAGAGGTTTAGCGTGACATAAGATAACGAGAAAGGCGAGACCAGCTGCAACTGAATCATCTACTAAAGGGCATGAAGGGGGCAAAGAATTGCCAGACAATGTGTTGTATTTGTTCAGAGCCGCGGCTGCCATTGCTGCTGTCCAAAAATGACAAAAACAGGCTTATGCGGCGCAGCAAGCCGTTCTAACCAGCCACGGCGGTTCCCACTTCCGGCTTAAGTTTTCAGTCTCTAAGACATGGAGCCGCTAAGAGTACTTCAAGAGAGCTCAAGTACGTGACGGCTTCGAGGAAAGCAAAGGAAATTCTCGAAATTTTCAGTTTTCAAGTTATTTATAAAGTATCAATCTACAGCTTGTGAGAAAACGCAGTGATGCATGTACCCATCTCTGGAAAATGGCTACCCCGCCAAAAGGAGATGGTACCTCTGCTTATCTGATGCTTTCTAATGCTTCGTATTAGCATAAAAACAAAAGCCCACACTCAATCATAGAAGGGGGAGCGAAAAATGCTGAATGAGGAGTCTCTACATATGAGGGGCAGTAGTAGATGACAATCGCCAGCAATAAGATTTTCCACTAGAGCAAATCAGCTACCCTTCCGAGGAGGCAAAATCAGTGCTTCTTGGGTGGGTCGTTTCCTTCAATATGAGCCGTTCTCAGGCAACCGTTTTCAATTGATTTCCGGGCATCTTTCCTAGATCCTATTTGGTATTCACATCTTGTTCTATCAGTCACCATTACTTTCTAATACTTTAGTTACGGTAGTTTACCCATTTTCGTTTTATTACACAACTATTATTTAGTTAATTTGCTTTTGTTCACTATTTGGTTTTGCAGTAAGGCGTGCTAACGTGAGCTCCTCCCGGTAGGTGAAAAAAGCAGTGGTCTAAGTTTAAACGAAAAGAACTGCCATAAATATTTGCAAGAACTATTTTTTTTTGAATCCCGGCCGATTCCTTTCGTTTTTGCACGCAAACAAATAGCTTCGATTTGGAGTTGGTCACTGACCGGAAATTCTGAACAAAAGGGTCCATGTTCATGTTTTCAGTTTTTTCGCGCCTATTTCGCTCCTGCTTTGTCACCATTGAGTGATCGGTGGCAAAATACATAGGAACAGAATAATCACGAAAAACTTGAAAACCACCCTAGAACACCCAATTGCAGTCAAATATGCGGTCGGTAAGAAGTGAGGAAGGATCAAGAAAAACGAGTTAATAGAAAAGGACGTCTTTCTTTTTACACACAAGGAAGAACTTTGATATGTGTGGCGACCAGGAAGAAACTTAGAACGTAAAAAGGACACATTCCTAAGAGTTTTCCAAAACAATATTTCTATGACGTTACTTTAAGGATAACTTTTGAACTCGACTACTAGTTGATAATAACGAATGTGCGATAGCAGATCGATATTAAGAGAGGCGACTGAAGTCCAACACTAATCAAAAGGACTCAATGGATCGTAAATTTCTTTGAGTGATGTAATTGCATTGAATGATCTCCAAGAACATGGAGGGAGCTCGAGATCCTCTATGCGGCCAACACATCATCAGGATGCTGGCCGCATAGCAGTTGCAAATACTGGCTTGTCCTGGGGCTGTCCAGATGCAAAACAGGGACGGACGGGTATGTATCGCCTTGTGCCAACGAGAAGGAACGCCGCATTACAACGCCCAAAGGAGCTCCTTTTTATGGGATTAGGTTATCCGCAAACATTTCAAGACGCCGACGACGAACCAAAATCCAATTATAAACACAGTTACTCTGTGCTCGTCGTCCGGGAATAAAAGAAAAGTCAATTAGATATTTGCAGGAACAACCTACTTGAAAAGGAATTGTTCTGGAAATGAAAAACAAGAGTGCAGTGATGAAGAAGAGAGATCTCTCACCTATTCGAAAATTAGAAGCTAAAGTTGGCTGGAGTCCATTAGAGTGAAATGCCTTCATGAGGGTATGATTCTATTTCTTCCCGATTCCTTCTGGGGATCTCACTAGAGATGATGACGGAAAAGAAAGAAAATGACGAGTGTAAGAAAATCCGACGGAATCAAAGAAAATATGAGCACAACATGTCGATTGTCGCCGGAGCCTTAGTACTTGTAAAATTGCGCTGCCTCCTCTCGTGCTCCTACGCAAGTAGGAGAGATAAAGTGCTGGCGGAGTTGAGTTCATACGGATAAATGTGGGCAGGTAGGGAAATGAACTTCAAGCCAACGTGATCAGCTAGCTATTTGGGAAGAGAAAAAGAGCATATGAGTGCAGAGTGCGGAAATTTCAAGCAGGATTTAGGGGAAGTAATTAGAGAACGTCAGGAAAACATGCGCCGGTAAATAGTGAACTTGGAGAGAGTCAGGCAGAAAATCAGAGTGATTAGGGAGATCGAGATGAGAAAAAGAAGGAGAATCATGGTTTTCGTCGGAGAAGGAATATCTGAACTGAATCGACTACGGAAATGTGAATGAATTTGTGCCACGGTACTCCGATATGCAGGGAAATCGTCACTGAAAAATATAGAGTAGAGGGAATCACCGAAAGGATTAATGGAACTGTAGATAGTGGATGAGTAAGAAACCGTGGAGGAGAGTTGGCGAGGGAGGATAAAGGGGAAAAACAAGGGAAACGGATGAGCTGGCTACTCGTATGGATAGGTATTTGGCACGAGATCATTACTGGTGAAAAGACCGTCTTCGGCAAGTGTGGTTGAACAGAAAAAACACCGAAATGGTTCAGTAGCACAAGGAATGCAATCTATCGCGATCCATTTTCGTCTAACAGTCGAGAAAGAACTGCTTCTACCAAAGTTATTGTGAGCTGTTATTGGCATCCATAGCAAAGAGCAAGTTCAACAAGATCATCCAATTCGCTAATGAGGTGATACTGCGGGTTGGATTTTCCAAGTGTTCACAGCTTTATTCAGGAATTCTCAGCGACTCTGCTGGCGTCGAAGTGTAGGCATTTCAGCAGCCCCGTTTCTCCCATCGAATCTATGAGTAATATGAAAAGGAACGAACAATCAACAACCAATTATGGTCAACAAACGGCTCCTTGCTTCAATCTCGAACTAACTACAGCAAGCTGTCAACTTATTCCCCAATTCAACTATACATAATTCGCTAGGTGTGTACGTGGGTGTGAAGGAGTGTGTGTGAGTGTGTGTGTGCGTGTAAGAGTGTTTTGCGTGTGGATGAGTGTGTCGGTGTGTCGATGTGTTTGACCAGGAATTCGTAACTACTGATACTCTGGACCTAGAGTTTTCAAATATGGAAGGCATACAAGTGGATGGATCAAACAATCATTAGAAGCTGATAAGACTTGGCGACGACCATAGGGGCTTACAGAGCACCTTAGAAGACAAGAGCCACGGAGCTTATTACGCCATTCATGTTAGCAGTATGTATGGCCTTGGCTTTTCGGGATGAGGGGTGTGAAGAGATCGTAGATGACTGGGGAAAGGAAATTGATAACAAGTGATGAGGTCTGATAAGGGACTTCAGGAGGCAATGGTCGTTTACCCCGTTACGCTTTTTGTATTTGCAGTGATGTCGTGATATTTCCATAGGAGATCCAGGGCGTGACGGGATCGTCGACTGCAGCGAAACTTATATATAGAAGCTGAGAGAAGCCACTGAATGCAAGGTTTAGGAGCCTAGGACCCGTAGACAGTTCTTTGGGTTATGTGAGTCGTGATGTCATCGCGGATAACTATTAACAGCAGCTGATAACGACTGATAGGGACGAGTAATAGCAAAAGAAGGCCAGATGGTAGACCCTTACCATGATATTAAGGTTGAGGTTTTGCTAATCATTACTCTGCTGATCCTTAACTATTACTGTTCGTCGAAGGACCGTATACAACTGACGTTAAGAAATGGCAAAATGGAAGATTGATAAGAGGCGATACAATGCCGAATCGAGAAAAAACGTCAAGCCTTAATTTCGGAGTCTCGAAATTTTTTCTTTAAACTAGTTAGTTGGTTTGTTATCATTGTTTTTTTTATTGAAGGATAATATTTGTGGCATCAATCAATCCCGCCTGAGGTATGCACTCGACCCCGCACTTGACTTCCATTCGGAATCGCAGTGGCGTAATGAATGCGTATGTAGCCTATACAATGACTTGCGGGGCCAGCCGATGTACAAGGCAGTGCTTTTATCCTCCCAGGCGAGTCTGGTACCAATTAACCGACCCCAGAGGGATGGAAGGCTTGGTCGGCCCAAGCGGATATCGATCCCGGATTCGAACCCCTGACCATGCATGTGAGATTGTGCGCCACTTGCTATCACACCCCCTCTGTTTTTGTATTATTGACTTTACTTGGAATGAGAAGGAGCGCAGAAAGTTGCTAAAAATTAGTAATAGCCGCTGACAAGGACTGATAAGGGAACCTGGCATCTAAGAGTCTGTCATCTCTCGTGTTTATTTTAAATCCTTGAAATCCGTTATTGTAATGTTGAAAGTTGCGGATTCCTAGCACCTTTCGAAAGAAAATAACAACGTATGGGTCAATGAGTGGCTTCAGAATGGGAAAACTATCAGGCCACAAAGTGTTTATACCTGTACTACATATCAGAACATTGACACATTGGCACTCCCTTGGAGCAGGCCAGGAATGGTTACAACATTGTGAGAGCTGATAAAAACTGATACCCTATGAGCGATATTGAGATTTGGTCTACAGCTCCCGTTTACAGCGCTTGTAACTACATACCTTAACACTTTATATGTTTCAGCAGTTGGACTACGTACGCAAGCGCGTGCATTACCTGCCCACTACCGCTTACCTACGACTTGTTAGAGGACCAATATAAACAGTTTTGGTAGACTTACCATTTCATAACTGATTCCTCACCCCGCTCACGTGACATTCACACTTTTCATCGTGCCTATGTGAC